GACTGCAGGGTGAGCGCCCCCTGCTGATCCCACTAACACCCTTTCCAGCAGCAACCTTAGTTTTTCCCTGGAGGTCTCCCATCCAGGTACTGACCAGGCTCACACCTGCTGAGCTTCAGTGGGTTGCCAGTTGTGAGTTGCAGGGTGATATGGCTTATGAAATCACAATGTATTTAACTGGAAGTTTTTTACATTGATTGACAGAAAACATACTCTATAAAGTGTAAAAATTCTACAGATCCTCCAAAATTAATTATAAATATAAAACAGAAAATAACTGCATAAGTATTCACCCCCTTGGAGTCAATATTTGGTAGAGACACATTTGGCAGAACTCACAGCCATGATTCTTCTTGGAGAGGTTTCTACCAGCTTTGTACATTTGGACACTGCAATTTTTGCCCATTCTTTTCTGCAAAAGTGCTCAAACTCTCTCAGGTTGGATGGGAAAAGTTGGTGAACAGCAATTTTCAACTGCTGCCACAGCTTCTTGATTAGATTGAGACCCGGCTTTCACTTTGTTAATCCAGAACACTGACCTTTTCTTTTTAAACCACTCCAGTGTGGCTTTAGCTTTATGTTTTGGGTCACTGTCCTGCTGGTAAATGAGTCCCATGTCTCTTGCAGACTCTGTCCTTTGCTGCATCTGTTTTTCCTTCTGTCTACACAAGTATTCCTGGGCCTGATGCAGAAAAGCTTCCCTATAGGATGCTTCACCTTAAGGATGGTGTTCTCAGGATGATGTTCACTGTTAAGCTTTCACCAAACATAATGCTTACCGTTGAGGCCAAAATAATCAATTTTGGTCTCATTAGACCATAGAATCATCTTCAATTTGGTCTCAGAGTCTCCCACCTGCATTCTGGAAAAGTATAGTTGTGATTTGATGTGAATTTCTTGTCACTCTCTCATGAAGCCCAAATTTGAGAAGCACCCAGGCAATCCTCATATGCAGAGTTTCTCCCATCTCAGCCATGAAGACTGTAAATAAGAGTTGTTACACGCTTCTTGGCAGCCTACCTGACTAGTGCTCTTCTTGCCTGGATACTGAGTTATTGAGGACACCCTGTTCTTCACAGTTTCACAGTTGTGCCATATTTGCTACATTTCTTTATGATGGACTTCACTGTGCTTTGGGAGACATGTAATGCCTTGAAATTTTCTTATATCCTTCCCCTAACTGGTGCTTTTCAATAATCCTATCCTAGATTTACTTTGAAAGTTTCTTTGTGATGATTCTTCATGATGTAGTTTTTGTTGGAAGCTGTCAACTGTGGGACCTCCCAGAGGTAGGTATATTTATCATGAACTCTTGTGAAACACTTTAATTGCACACAGACGGACTCATTCAACAAATTATGGGACTTCTAAAGGTATTTATTTGCACCAGAGCCCATTTAGGTGTGATATAGTAAAAGTGATATACTTATACAATCACTTATTTTCTGTACTATATTTATAATTCATGTATGGGGATTTGTAGATTTTTGTTTTCAAACTGGGTGCTGCTCACTGGTGGTGGTGGAGGGGAGTCCTCATTACCTGTAAAGTGCTTTGATTGGAGTGTCCAGAAAAGTGCCACAGTATATAATTGTAAGGAATTATTATAAATTATTATTATAATTTGGCATTATAGAGTGTTTTCTGTTAATCAATGGGAAAACAATCCCAAAGAAATACATTGTACTCTATATTGTAATAGTAAAATTTTAAAAACTCCATTAAATGATTTCATATATCCATTATAACTAGGGATGCACCGATATGGAATTTCTGGGCCGAAAACAATAACCAATAATTAACAACTTGTTGAGGCCTATACAGATAACAGATAATTTTACTTCTTTGCATTTTAAAACAAGTTCACACTATAATCCACATTTGGAGTGTAATGAGGGTAAGAAAGCTAAAACTCAGTAAAGTTTAGCATAGTCATCGGACTAACGTCTGATTAGTTGACAGAATCCTCGATCCTCCACAATCGAAAAGGGTTGGTCATCAAGTGCCATAAACCCCATGATTTTGTCTGTGATTACTTTTAGCCTTCGGACTTGCCTTGGCAAATGTTCTGCAATTTTTCAAATGCCTGTTGGATAGGCATTGCTGCACTTGCTAATGTTTTTGTGTTCTTGCTAATGCTAGCTGCCTCGTGTTCCTTAAATAAATATTTGGAATGATGAGTTTTCAAATGACTAATTAGGTTAGTGGAACTGAAACTCTTTTGTTTCCTCCTCGCTGTACTTCGGCTGAACTTTTGTTGCAAATTGCAATTCTGTTGTCCTCTGCTGAAATGGTGAAAAAGTTCCACACCGCCGACATTTTCACTCTGCGGCAACTGTACTGTGCCCCCTCTACTCTGTGCAGCAGTGCGCACACATGAAAAAAAACTAGTTGTGCAAACAAAAATAGGGCGCCGCATTATCGGTTATAATTATCGTCAGTAATTCCAATATCGGAACGGCAATACAAATTACATTTTCCTATTTATCGGAGAATAATATATAAGCCTCTGATACATCGTGCACCCCCAATTAAAACATCAAGCATATTGACATACTGAAAAGAGATACAATAAGATGTTTTATAAAAGGTCAGAGGCTACAGCCCCTAGGGCTATAAAGTAATGTTTTATTTGATCAAAAGTATATGTTATATGGCTACCAAATCATGTTACAAATCCACTTTGGACCATAATTCCCATAGATTCTTCTTCTTCTATCATTATTCCCGAGTCTATGATAGTCTATGACTTTCTATAGCAGAGGTATGTCACAGAATATGCAAAGAAGTGTATATTCAACATAGTTGAACTAACCATAATCAGTTCATTCGTGGTGTAGCGGAGCCAGTTCGGATACGGTGACATCGGCACCCTCACTGCGCGTAGCAGGGACCTCAGCTGCCTGGGCTGGGGGAGGTCTTCTTAAGCTCATGCGGCTGGTTCCCTGTTGCATTATGGTGGAGACCCGGGTTCGCGCCCGGACAGCACGAGCCCGCGCGGAACCGCGACGATCACAATTAGACCTTTTTCACTGTATTCTGACAGGTAAACATGGTCATAAATAAAACAAATTGCTTTATTTTGAAAACGAATTGCTGGTAAATGTTCACTGTAGGCATTAGAGTTCAAAGGTTCCTGTTCCTGCCTTGGGTAGTACAACCAGGAATGTTTGCTCATGAAGGTCAAGACTCCTAAAGTTTTGCATAATTTTAAAATAGATTATGAAGTTTTCTGGTGGAACATTATGCATTTGAAATTTAAAAAATCTAGCCACTGTCCAACAGCTTCATAAAATTAGTGTTGTGGGGAAACCATAGTATTCACCAGAGTATTGGCAAGCAATGGGCGCACGGCGGGATACACCCCGAACTTGACGCCAGTGCATCACATATCACAGACACACACACTCTTACACCAGGGCTGATTTTCCCACATTCCAATTAACCCACCAGCATGTCTTTGGATTGTGCGAGGAAACCAGAACACCCAGAGGAAATCCATTGGAACACAGGACAAACATACAAACTCCACGCAAACAACATTTAACACTTAACAATCCCTAATTCTGCGACAATGCAGAACGTCTGCCACTGTTTCACCAGTCTTAGTTCCTGGGGCACCAGTAGCATTGCTAGTTTCCATGCAAACAGAAACCTCACTGCTCTTTCTAAAGATCACCTTGTAGTTGGAATCAACTTCCTTCATCTTAACTGTGACAAGACTGAAGTCATGCTTATTGGTACCCCCCATCAACTTCGTAAAGCCAGTCCTGTAACCCTGTCTGTAGATGGCTCTGTACTTGAGCTCCAATCAAAATTGAAAA